GCAAATAAAACATGGTACTTCATTAAAATCCTAATAGTGCTCCAAAAGGGGCCACAATAGGTTGTGCTTTCTTTTTCAGATGTGTGTGTGTTTTGGAGCAGGAGATGAAAGTGGAAAGTAATCAGAACTCTGGTGGAAGTAAAATGCTTCCCTTTTAAGACAGTGTCTGAGCTGCTAACAGCTTTGGATCCAGAAGCAAGCTAGTAAGCCTCTGTGTGTAAATGCAAATTACCTAGCTGATGGGCACAAAGGAGCTGCAAACAACAAATACATCTGGTCAGCAAACAAGCTACTAGAAGACTCAGATTATGGCCCTTCAGGAAAGGGAGGTGAAAAAAACAAGTCAAGCCTGAAAATAAGGGGGACAGGTTAACCTTAAGGGGTGTGTGTGTGTGTGTGTACAGTGCTAAAATCTGAAGCTGTGTCTCAGCTATTACCTGAGAATAAACTTAAAGCTTGGTATAGCAGAGAAACTATTGCAAACTTGGTCTGTTGTACAAGAGGGGAAACTGAGGTACACCATCTCATGAATTTCATAAATGACCAGTGAGTGAGGTAATTCACTAGCCTGACTATAGAACAAAATAAGGACAGCCTGGAGGTAATTCTTCTGTTTTTCCTGCAAGTAGCAAGGACATTTGTAAAAGAAAGTGGTATTATTATTAAGCAATAATCTGTCCCCACCAGGGGGGTGGAAATTGTTTTTTTTTGTTTTTCAGACACTCTACAAGCAAGCTGGCACCAGCGGAAAAATAACCCAGAATACCATGGATCTATGTTTTGTGTTGTTTGTCTGTGGTGTTTGTCTTGTTGCTAGCATTGTTGTGCTTTAATGAACAGAAAACCTCATGATGTGGGTGGGGGATGGCTTCAAAAGGCTGACCCTGGGGGAAGATGTGTATGGGAATGCAAAATGCTCAACTAGGAGGCCAGCACCTGTGTAATAGCTACCGTGGTACCTGGAAATGGAATGGCAGCTAAGGTGGCCCCCACAAGCCCTATGGAAATAATGAAAAGGGGAGGAGCTCACTGGGAATTAATGGAGGGGTGTGTAAAACAGTGTAAATCAATAGAAGATGTTTGGATGTGCCCCTCTCCTATGACTATAGAGGAGCCTATGCAAGGGGTGGACAATTGGGTGTACTGTTTATAAGGTGTTTTGCTGGGAATGTACATATTACTGGGGGCACAATTACACCAGCCCATAACCAAACTACACCCATCTACATGCTGCTATATGGACTTTGGTGCACAAATGGATCTGTGAATCTTATTGCTGTGAATAAGCCAGGGCATACTGCCTGATTCCATACCAAGTGGTCAAGCTGGTTTGGACAATATCCCATCTCTCTGTGAACATTCAATGGACTTATGATATGGACAAAAGCAAGCAAAACCTGCAGGGGCAGCTTGTTGCAACTGCCAGCAACTGAACACATAAGATCGTGACCCCGTCGAAGGAGGAGAGGCAGTGTTTTGGGGGTGTCTCGGATGTTGGACCATACTGCAGTGGTCAGGACTCGGTGTTGCTGTGGATTTTGTATTGTTAACTGTACTTGTGTTACGTTGCATAGGGAGATAACCTATAAGAAATGTAATAAGCCCTCCAAACCCTGCAGTGTACTAGACAACCCGGACCCAACCTTCTCAGGCCCACTCTAATGGGAAGTCTGGAACACTAATTGGAATAGGTGTGGTATGCCCGTATGAGAGAAGGTGCAGGGCACTATACTACACAAGGGGCAGTGGGACAAATGGAATATCGACACCTTCCACCTTGATGCCTGGCCCTATCAGGAAATGTGTCGCCATATGTCCTATGCTTTTCCAGGGATACCTGAGCAGGAGGATCCCAAAAGAAAAAGAAAAAAAAGGGGTGGAGTGTTAGGATATAGATATTCAGGCCTGTCTGCAAAGGCCTGTACTCTAAGAATTTAGGTGTATTCTTATCACTTGGCTAGTGATAGAGGTATAAAAGAAAGAATCAAAATCACTGTCTGCTGGTGTAAGGGCCTTCTCTTACTGTGACAGTCTGAGGCCCTGTTCTTAGGCTAAGGCCTTTGCCTAAGCAGCAGAGGCAGCCATAAGCTGGGAAGCAAACAGTCACATCCTCACATTCCAAACTAGTCACACTGAAATAAGGTGCTATTCGGCTGTTAGGAATACAATCCTGTCCTGATAGTTCCTATCACCTCCAGAGAAAGGGAAGTGCCTAGAAAATGAAAAATGAAACTTAGTTTGATAGCATCCTGTCTGGCAAGAACTCACTTATCAATAGCTGGGATGTGAAATCCTCGCTTCTGTGTTGTCTTGTCATTGTAATTCCCACTTTGCTATTGTTTGTCTGTATAATCTCTGTCTGGTTCTGTGATTGTTCCTGTCTGCTGTATAATTAATTTTGCTGGGTGTAAACTAATTAAGGTGGTGGGATATAATTGGTTACATAATCATGTTACAATATGTTAGGATTGGTTAGTTAAATTTCAGGAAAATGATTGGTTAAGGTATAGCTAAGCAGAACTCAAGTTTTACTATATAATCTGTAGTCAATGAGGAAGTGACTGGGTGTGGGTGTGAGTGGAGGTGGGCATGGGCATGTGGGTGTGTGAGATGGGAACAGGGAATGGGAGTAAGAAAATTGCAATCATGTTTTGCTAAAGGGGGAGATGGGAACAGGGAATGGGGGTGAGGAAGTTGGAATCATGTTTGGCTAAGGGTAGGAATGGGAACAGGGACACAGGTGTAAGGCTCTGTGGTGTCAGAGCTGGGAAGGAGGATACTAAGGAAGGAAACTGGAATCATGCTTGCTGGAAGTTCACCCCAATAAACATCGAATTGTTTGCACCTTTGGACTTCGGGTATTGTTGCTCTCTGTTCATGCGAGAAGGACCAGGGAAGTAAGTGGGTGAAGGAATAAGCCCCCTAACACCACCTGTTTCCAAATCTCATTTTAAACATCCTTTCTCCTTTGTCTTTGCCTCTTACTTTCCCCTTCTGCTCCTAACAACCTTACGAATAAATTCTTCAATTAAAAAAAAACAAAAAAACAATTAACTAACCTGTATTATTCAAGTCCATAATAAATTTTGGTATAATTGTACAAAAAAATACTATCTAAAATAAAATTATATTGTAGATTCACATTTTTATAACTATGCTGAGAATAAATTAAAGCATAAAGCAAGCTCTTTAAATTGTAGTTATTTTAGCCTTCTCTGAAGCTACATTAAGTTATAAATCTTCTGGATATTTAATATGAAACTAGATTTCAATAATTGTCAAAATAGGTTTTTAACTATAGATCACAACTTATGCTAAGCAAAATTATTCTGCAAAACATCTAAAGATGTTTATTTTCTCTTCTATATTTGATTCCTTCATGCATATTTCAGGAACTACAGTCAGATAAAATCTAAGGAATGGATTGGCCAAATGTGAAAACTTCATTTGTAGCCTACAAATGGATTAAACTTAAAGAAAGACAAGTGTTGAAAGATTGTTTTGTTCCCTGGGAAATGCTCTGGAAATTTTAACAGCTTCCTAATTACTCTGCTTGCATTTGCAAGTTTTCCATGTGTTTCAATCAGATCGTGCAACTAAATTCTAAAACCTTCTCAGGGTCCTATGGTTTCCAGGAATTTAATGAATCATTTGTGATACATTTCACAGACTAGAGCTCAGGCTTTATTCTGCCTGAAACAAATTCTCAAAAGAAACTAATATTAGTCTGAATTTAGCAAAGCTATACAAGTGTTTTATGTGCAGGACTTGAACTAGCAGTTTTATGGATCTGAAAAGCAGAAGTTTAATTCTAAAAGTCATGTGAACCTGTGTAACACTTAACTTGGGGCTGTAGAGCAGTTAAATTGCATCTAGTATTTCTAATTTTAGCAATTTTTTAAATTGCCATGTAACATGAAGTAACAATAGATTTAATCTCATTTGTGATTGGAGGTGGGTTTTGTTTTTTTTTAAATATATAAGTGTGTGACAGCAAGATGCTACAACATGTATAAATTATATCTGAATGACTTCTAGAGCCAGTGAAATCCACAAACTAACTAGATGCTTGAGAGGTCATATTTCTATGTTGACTGCACATTTTAATTTCACATCATCTTGTTTGGGTATTGTGAAAGACTAAGTTAAAAACAGCATTTAAATTAATTAGTTTTATTACACCTGTATTATTTCATATGCCTAAAGTCAGGTCTCTTCTTACTCAACGCTTACTAAGCAAAATACTAATATCATCATACTTAATGCCCTCCATAGCTGTAACCATTTTCAATGCCCTTTCTGACCTTTCCTCCTGTCTTTTCACATTGTTGTTTTTCCCCCCCAGAGGTTTTGAATGATGAGGATGGAGTGGGGGGGGGGGGGGGGAAGGCATCACATGCCACATCCTGGTATCAGAATCGAGTTTTCTGAAAACACAACTTTCCTCCACCTTTGAGTCTGTATGGCCCGTGTCAATTTTGGATTTCTCTTGGATTTCTCTCTTTTCTCTTTCCATTGGATTCTTCAACTCCTTCTGCAACACACTCTCACATTTATTTCTCCCCATTTCCTTAATGTCAACTCTTCAGCATGAAAGGAAATGTATTTCTTGCAGGCTCACAGTCTTCTTTCCTCTACCAGTCTCTGTATGAAGTGCATCTTTACAGTGCTTTCTGATCTAAAGAAATGTGCAACAAGAAGCACTCTAGACAGTTATGCCCACTACAGGGACTAGTAGAAAAAGAAAGAGGTGACATACTCAAATGAATAGGCATCTGTGGTATGTTGAGGGACTTTCAATAAAGTCAGAGAAGCCATACAGACACAGTTGCGATGCTTAGGCACTAAGGACTGAACTAAAGGCAGAGAGTTTCATTTTATATAGATAAAAAAATTGAGGTTACATGAATGTTTTAAGAACAGCAGTTACTGTGCCAATCTATTTTATATCAATTTAATTAAGAAGTAGTAAGGAAGCCATGCATAAAATTTCTAGTTACCTGTGAGGGTCCTTTGAACTTGGTATAATATACACACATTCCCTCTTGGTGAAAGTGTTTTCTATCCAGGATTTCTGGGACTGTAAAAATAAGAGTTACACAAGAATTATCATGATATTATAAAATTATCATATAAATCACTGTCAATGTTCTTTAAAAAAAAAGAACTGTATGATATAATACCCAAAAAGTAGGCATTAAAGAAATATAATTCCCCATTTAAATATATTTCTATTTTTCATTGATGAAAGCATATATCTGCAGTATTGACAAGGACAAACAGTAAAGCAAGATATTCAAAAGCAAGAATGATTTTGAGTGCCCATGTGAAGAGATCTGATTTTCAATAAGTGCTTCCTCTCTGAAAATCAGGCCCTTTTAAAGTGCCTCATGTTGGGCACCTAAAATTTGAAGCAACCAGAACCACTAGTCACTTTTTAGAAGTCTAGATGTTTTGATTAACTACATTCTGAAGTTAGTTTTGCAACAATCAGCTACTTATGCAAAAGAAAAAAAGGTTGTAACAAAAGAAGAAATATCCACTAGTGAAAAACAGATTGCAACTACAATAATTTATGCCAAATTACCTGTCTGTTGCTAAAACCTCTATCAAACTGCATTAACGAAACATCAAAAGACAGAAAAAAAAACTATAAACTCGGTTATATTTTAATGGTTACATAAAAAGAATGTTATAATTTTGAAAATCAGATAAGTGCACTTAAGTGCAAGCATTTTAAATTACACACACACACACACACAGCAAATTGAGATGCAACAAACATTCTGAAATAGTTCACTAAAGGGTGACCAAAAGAGTTGTTCTATGGTATTTTGAAGTTACAAAATATTCACTATTTATTTCATGAAGCTAGTTGGAAATTTATAATCACTGTTTCACTAATGTTTTATCTATTCTATTATCAAGTTGTCAGTCATTGCTAGCGACAATAAAATAGGATAACTCTAGTTCTTTGTCAAGTAGCACATCCTACGTTTTCCCTCCCCCCCCACTTCGATAAACAATTTAATGAGCATCCTCAACAGATATTTCCAAACAGAGTTCAAAATGTGCTTGAAAACCTTAAATTAGATGTTGACTTCCTTTAATGTTTACCTATTTTAATTGCTGGCCAAGATTCTGTTTAGCTTGCTTTAAAACAGGGACATTACATTATCTTACAGATCCCAACTTTACTTTTGCCAATTGATTTGGATGATGCACAGTCAGCATGTTATTTCAGGGAAGAGATTCGATTCAGTAGAATCTCAAGAAGTATACCCAGAAACAATATGCAACCTATATTTCTTCTGCATTCTATGCAATATTATTCTAAACCTTAATTAAATTAAGATGCTATTCTGATACTAAGTGAAATTAGTTGGAAATATTAGTATCATGTCCAGTTTTGGTCTGCATCTATTGAAGTCAATATAAGAAAAAAGTTAGCCATGCTTCCTTAAAAATGCTTTGTTAGGATGGAATGCTTCCTTCACTGGAAAAGGGGAGAAAATGGACCCTGAAGTATATTGCTGCTTTAAGATATCTCCCAGAGTTCACTGTGAGTCTTTGCAGAAATGCTATTTTTCTTGACTTCTGGTAATAGACGGCAGGAATATAGACAATTCAGTGAAGCTAAACCATCTTTAATTTATCAAAATTCCAATTTACAAGGAAACACATGACAAGCAAGTTACTAAAAACAGTACTAGACAAGTTAATTCTCATGACTGGTCTATCACTTCTTGCCCACCTCTTTCAAAGCCACACCTAAAATTGTTCTTCCAGTACACCTTTCCTACTTCAGTCTTCACAAGCACCCTACAGTCTTGTGTTGGCTGTATTTGATTGTGAGCTTGTTGACGCAGAGACTATGCATTCTGTTAACTGCCATCCTCATTTTGGGCAATTTATGAATAGTTGTTTTTTTAAAAAAAAACAATGAAAAAAATTTCCTGAAGCCGCTCTGTGATGTGATTCTATCAGCTTTCACATATTAGGCAGGGCTGGGCTGTTTAATGATTGAATGGGAGGCATCTAAGAAATAAATAGATCTGGGGTGCCCAATCTGTAAGGCATGCACACATCCCCAGAGGGGCACCAGGCTCCTCCATAGGTCATTGGAAGCTGCAGGATTGCCACCATGGAACACATAAACCACTCTTCCTAATGGTGGCTGGGGATGGGGGGAGGAAAGAATGCATTCCTTACAGCAGAAACAGGTAAAGACCAGTATAAAGTAAGGGAGGGAGGGAGAGAAGGGAATGGAGAAAGAACTAGGGGAAGCGAGATGGGAGGAATACAAAAATAAGACAGTTGATGGGAACTGGGTGGAAAAAAGTGGGCAGAACTAGAATTGAGTGGAAGAAGTTAAAACCCAGAAGAGAGGAAAAAACCTTAAGAAGAGAAGAAAGAGAGGAGAAGAGAGAGAAATAGAAGCCACAAGAAAGAATGATGAGGGGGACACAAGATGGGAGCCCAATCACTTATTTGCAGTGTTTTCGGATCTAAAGAAATGTGCAACAAGAAGCACTGTAGATAGTTATGCCCACTATAGGGAATAGTAGAAGGTACTGAACCAATGACCTTTCTTGGTTGGCCCTTCAATTCCTCCCCCTCACAACAGAGATAAATTCTACTTCCAAGGTGGAAAGGGTAAACAGCCTGCCAAAAAGATCAGTAGTTTCCAACCTAGGTGTTGAAAATAAGTGGCTTCTGAGATAAAGAAGCATAGTGCTAGGAACCTGGTCAATTTGCTGTCCCAGGAAAGGCAAGGCAAGGCAAGAGAAGCAGCAGATGCTAAACATTCATTCAGTTAGTAGTGAACTTTATAGTGCTGCTATTCAAGAGACTATGAAACAAACTAAGAAATCCAAAACAAGTGTTGCTTACAGTTTTTATTTAAATGAAATAAAATTATAAATAATATTATGAAAAAGATATGCCAAGTCTTTATTGTGAATTTTTATTTCATTTTCCTTTCACACTTGCAACTTCGTGAAATAAAACTGACCCATTGAAATAGCATGGAGAGTTAAACAATCTGAAGTTCTCAGATTACGGAAATGCCCAAAGATTTACATGGGAAATACTCCTAGCAAGTATTAGTAGGACTGACCCTTCACTGACATACTGCACATTTTGCTCTACATTCACTTTTTTTCCTATTGAACTTTTCCAGATAAAGACCTCACATGAGAGATGACTGAAATTACACATCAAGATAAAATAGATCTTGTGAAAGTAAAGACATTTCAGCAGCACACAGATTCCTAATGCTCTAGTGGGCAAGATTGTTTTAATCTACTTCTTAACTCTCAGAGGATTATGCAGTATACTGTATGTTTGCTGTGTACAAGGAATTTCAAGAATGGTGAAAAAACACAATGAGACTTCATTATCAGTATAGAAATTATTAAAAACTATACTAAAAGTGACATGGATTCTTTATGATTCAGTAAACAAGTGTATTGGTATGTTCACACTCATTAAAAGATTTATTTGAAATATTCTCACAATTAGCGCTTTCTGAAAGATGTTACACAAACTAAAGATAGAAAGAGTTATAGAACAAACTACTACTAAATAGCATACACAAGTATTTTCTAAACCTTAATCTTAGAATATTTATCTTAACTGAAGTTTACACAGCAGTCCTGTATTTCCAGACTGTAAAAAGTGTGTCTCAGTGCCAAAAAAGTGTTATTTTTTAAAACAGGTGTGTAGCGGGGTGGTTACCCTGCTCCAGTTTGGAAGGGGTTAAAACCAGCTCTGGGAAGGGGCTACCCCAAGGAGCCAATCAGGTGAAAGCAGGTAGCAGCCAATCCAGGCCCGGTAGGGCTGTTATAAAAAGGGCTGTGAGCTAGGAAGCAGGGAGTCTCACTCCAGACTTGGGGTGGGAAGGACCACGCTGCTTGGGAGCACAGGGTACCTTCAGCAGAGCAGTGCTGGGGAAGGGGCAGGCTGAGGCCTGACAGGAAGGCCTAAAGAGGTACTGGGGCTGCAGAGACAGGCAACAGGTCCAACGCCCTAGCCAATGATGACTGGCCACTTCAGACTGCAGTTTGCCCCTGAGGGATGGGGTTAGATGAAGACTGGCAGTGGGTCACTGAGGCGAGGTAGGCTCAGGGGAGTGGGGTTCACTGGGTAAGGGGCAACACCCCAAGGTAAGGGGCACCGTGGTCTGGGAGGGATGTGTGGCCTACACGTGGTGGGGATAAAGGGACTGCATAGGGGCAGCAACAGTGGGCAAGACACTGGCCCACAGAAGCACTCATGAGCTGGATAAGTTAATTCTCAGACTGACTAGCAGGAGGTGCTGTGCCAGTGAGTCAGCGATCTGCTACAAGGTGACAACTTATAGTTAACCTTGAGTTCAACAACTCCCAAAATGTCAGTTATTTCTGCTTCTAGCAATAAAAATTAATATTTCGAACAGCACTAATAAATAGTAACAAATATTTTATAATACCTGCTCAAGATACAAGGTACATTTTATCTTTAGTGAAATCCATGATGGACACTACTAGCAGGTTTCTTTGCAGAACCAATCTTATAACAGTTATCTTCAACACCTTAAATTAAAGTTAGCAGGTTACAACAAGAAACCACTGCCAAAGTGCAGTATGAAATCAGGTCTCAATCAAAAGAAAAGAAAAGTCTTCATTTAACATAAGATGGAACCTATACTCTTATTTACACTACACTATAACAGAGAGAAACATACTTTTGACAAACTCTATATCCTGCTTGATTGATAAACAGCAGTATTTCATCATGCCAATATGGAATTCTCCAGAATTAGTAAAAAGAAAAGGAGTACTTGTGGCACCTTAGAGACTAACAAGGAACAGTGGGGCGTGGGGAAATAAACATGGGGAAATAGTTTTACTCTGTCAATCTGTTTCTTCACTTCAGCAGGTGGGTATTGTAGTTGTAAGAATGTTTGATAGAGATCTTGTAGGTGTTTGTCTTCCACCCCACCATCAACCTCAGCCTGGACCAGACCACACAAGAGATCCACTTCCTGGACACTATGGTGCTAATAAGCGATGGTCACATAAACACCACCCTATACCG